ATTGTTTAGACACAGCAGTCGGCACTAAAAGTCTAATCCATTTGCCAGCATTTTGCATATTAAAAACGTTACAACTTGCCATGATAGCCTATCATCATTGTGTAGGGGACAACTCATTATGCACTATTACATAAGGTACCACTGGATTTACAGTGTAAGTGGAAGAATGGCATATCATCAGAAATATCCAAGGTAAATAACAAACTCAAACAACAGTCACTATTCAAAGTTCAATTCCTTGGCAACAGAGAAAATTCTATGCACATCTCTAACAGCTCTATTAGCTTTGCAAACTACTGTGGTGATTTTAAGCTAACACATCACGAGATACTGCTGTGCTTATTTCTGTTGTCAGAATAAACATGGAATGAAATCTGTACCGAATGGCTTTGGCAACTGCACCAGCACGGCTGAATGAGGCCCTGAAACTACACTGCAGTTAGAACTGCAGAAAATCCCAGAATAGTGAACTGAGAGACTTGTTAAGGCCCGCGTGAGAGCCCACTGCCCAGGGCCTGTCCCTCTCTGCTGCCACCATGAGCACTAAGCGCATTTTGAAAGACGTCATCAGAAGTGCAGCTGCAGGAAATGCCTGGATCTCCTGGAAGACCCCTGCTATCTCCTAAGCATATCTACCACAGCGCGCAAAAAGCTGCTTCATTAGTGAGCACTCTGCAAGATCAGCACCTTGAGACTCCTGGAATATCAAAGCCTATGCTCAGAATAAATGGAGTGCCTGCAAGATTCACCATTTCTCCTGTCTTCTCCTAACTTCCATCCATTTACTACAGCTAGGCTAAGGCTTCCACAGATGAAAACTGGGACAGTGCTGAGTACATAAAACAGGGGGTGGAGCACTGTGGGGAAAATGTGGATGTTGTCCTAGGAAGTGGAAGAACAGAAAAAAAGACTCATAATCTGGATGGTCTGGATAGTCTATATAGGGGGAAATAATTTGCTTTAAAGCCACCCCTACAGTTTTTTCAAGAGTCTCTTTAGTAGAGGAAGGGAAATGGGAGGGGAATTCTCCAGCCCCACTGCAGCACAAATCCATCATGGCCCATGCATTTACACCTAGCAAAGCTAGTCCCTAAAATATCTGTGTGTGTGTAGATCTATGTGTACACATATATGTATCCTAGCAACTATTATCCTTCGAGAGAAAATGGAACTGCTCCTCTATAGTTATACTATATCAGTGATACTATATACGGGTATAAAGATGCAGCAAGTATCTCCCAATTGTTGACTGCTCAGTTTATGGGCAGTTTATTGTAAAAATTAAAACAAAAAATCAGTAAGATTCTATATTCCTCTTTCCCAAATAACCAGCAGAAGGTCTACAGTTACTGCAAAAATTGAGTTTCATCACATTTTGGAATAAGAAATTTAGTAGTTCTGCTTCGGTTTGGAAATAGTGATGCAAAAACTAAGAGCTACTATATGTCCTTAAGTTTGTGGATTTTTGCATTTAAGAAGTGATTTGATTGCCATTCTCAGGTCTAGGTTTGGTCACAGGTCACAGGTCTAGGTTTCAGCTGCTTTACTGAAACTTCCTTTAGCTTAGTAAAACCTTCTTTTCTCTTTTCATGGTTGATAGCATGGTATGATAATCTTCCAGGAGTAACGGACTAGACTAAACCTCCGCAAGAAGAGGTTGCTGAATTACAGAGTTCCTTGTGGGACAGTTGACATTCTTGATTAAGTTGTTATGTACCTACTAACAATCCGGAAACTTTGCTACAGTCAATACTTTATTTGGACTGACATGCCTTTTAAGATACCATAAAGAAGGCAAAGCACTTTTATTCCCAGATGTTTACCAGATTTAATTCAGCAGAGTACACGCAGCTTATATTTGATTTAATTCATGCTTATGTTTGCTTAATTTCATCAATTCCGTATCTGTTGCATCTTGATAAGATTCCTATCTAGTCCCCTACTCTTCTCTTCCACTTGTACCTTTTCACGCTCTATTTTTCTTCAATAGGCTTTTTTTTTTTTCAGAATAAGCCCTCAAATAGGCTTTTCTAGCCTCATATATCTTCCTAGTTGTCCAAATACACTCTTAATTTAATCCAAGGCAGGCTGTGTAAGTGTTAGTAAACTTAATCTCTGTCTTGGCATCTGTATTTAACAGACATTTTGATTCAGAAGAAACTCAAAAGGAGTCTGTTTATTCACAATATTTTACTACCATCAATATGTATTTTGTAGAGCACTCTGCGACACAGGTGGCCAAAGAATCCATTACCATTAGAGATGCAGGTGTAACTCAGTTACAGGAAAAATCTCTCCTTCACTGCTAAGGAAGCAGTCATGCAGCTTGTCATTACATCCACTGAACACTAAAGAGATCTACATATAACGTGCTGTTTTCTGACTGGGAAAGTCTTAACTTTGTAAGCCAGTTTTCCTGAGCAGGGATCCATTTTTGAAAAATGGGAATTTGAGGGGAAAAAGAGGTACAATTGCCATCTCTGCTACAGTACAGATACATAAGGTACAGCTGTATCCTTTCTACATAAGGATATGAACTGCCAAGGTAAAAAAGATTATTAGTTATTCATAATTGGCCATACTGGCCATTCTATCAAGACAATATCTGAATTAACCTCATTGGCACCCATCTGAAGGGAACAAAAATTACAAGTTTCTCCACCAAACAGATATAATACTCTCCAAGACAACGCCTGCTCCTGGATGTTGAAGACAAGAGGGCAGAAATAACACTTCATCCATTGTCCCAGTATTTGAAAGTTATTCAAACATAGCTTGGGTGCTTCCTATTGGACCATCCAAAATGCACATATTCTCCAGTCTCATTTCTGTTGAATGAGCGGCCTTCTATGGATGTAGAGACCATGCTAAACCAGCTGTCCTTCTGCCACCACAGCCACCCAAAAAGACAGGCCGATCCAAAAAGGAAAGCAAAGACAAGAAAACCCCCAGATCTCATTACATGTGTAATTTTCACCACAAATACCTACTGACTGATCTCACATAGGATCGCTGTTCTTTCTCAAGCAATAACTGGTCAGGAATGACATCTACATTTTATAGATACTTCACTGTAAATGCTTCCCAACAGGAATAGGACACTACCCACAAAGCAACACCGACACGAATATACCTTTACTCTGTCAGAACTGATCTCAACTATGAGGTGGACAAGTTAAATAGAGGAAAGAGCAATTTACTAGAAGTAATCCTGCGGATCATTTCAGTTAGCCCAAGACCCTGTAGAAGTCATATTCTTGGTATTTCTCACTGTACCCACCTATGCAGTAATTACACCAATAAAGTAGATGTGGCTGCGCAGTGAGGCAGAGCACTAAAAAAGACTGAACTTGTACATTGGAGAAGTTGTGCCCTCCAGCCAAGACGTGGTAACTGACTTTGTGTTTGCTCCTAGTTCACTGCAAATGCCACTGAAAAGTGACGTAAGCAAAAAGATTTTTGCCAGGAACTTGAATGCTATCCTTTACAGCACTCAGCCAAAGAACTGGGGCCTTTTCAATTGCACTAACTCAATCCGTTGCCATCACTAAATACTGATAGAGTTTGTATGTGCAGAGTCTTTTAAAAATCTCTCAATGAAATGTACTCTAAGTGGAAAGTAATATTACCTTCAAGAAAATTTGATCTTTCTCAACAGTCCTATCTAAAACATATTCTATTTCATGACTATCTCACAATGGGCCACTTCTCCCAGCTGATAAAAGTCTCCCTTTTGACTTGTACTGCTCTGTCATGGAGTATATTATTTTTCAGCGTGCTTCTGCAACATCTGCCTTGCAACCATTTGGACAAACAAGGGCATATCTGCCTTTTCAGTGACTCCATTAGCATTAATGGCAGTCATAAATACAACACAGGGGAGAATATATTCTCCCAGGAATCTGTGTTCTTTTCAGGAAAAGGCTGCCCATCTTGGACTCGATAATTCACACACATTTTTCCAGGAATGGATGAAATGAAGATTCTATAACAGAAACATCAGCTTGACTCTCACTGTATGCCTGACTTCAAAATTTATCTCAAGAAAGCCTGCGCTTATTATTTTATTTCCATCTCTTAAAAAAAATAAAACAACCAGTATTGTTAAACTGTCATGGTATTTCTCAAGTTTTCTACTGAAAAAATTGGACTCTTTTTTTTTTTTTTTTTAGGGCAGTGTAATCCAGCAGTTAGAGCAGAGGGGCCATGATTCCTGGGCTCCATTCCCACCGCTGTCACTGATTCATTTCATGACTAATCGAGTGGACCGTTGCATGAACATCGTATTCAGTTCTCAGGGTAAGGGTGAACATCAAATTCCTTCCCCAGTTACCACACCCTGTCAGCTGTCCTACTTTTCTGAGAGGTGTAAGGAAAACGTTATAGGTTTATCTTAGGCTGGACAAACCATTAAGTTTGGGAATCAGACAGATAACACAAAATTTTCTCACATTTAAAATAATTTCAAGCAGAAAATACTTTCTGTTTGTGGTCCTAGGGACCAGTCTATTCCATGCAGTTGACTGTAGATGCAAATATGCTACATCCATACTCCTTTGCCAACCTGACTAACAGGACTTCAGCTGTCCAATGATTTTTTGCTTTCAATTTTTAATCCAATATTGGGGGGAAAACATAGAGTAGGAGAGGAGCAGGAAAAGCTCTAGAAACTAGACACCCAGAACTGCAAGTGGCCAAGTGGTTATGCTCACCTCTGAGTGAGACTGAAGTCATTTCTTTAATTCTGGTAGAGCTGGCACCTGAGCTAGGTCTCCCACCTGGGAAAGGGGTGTCCTCATCACTAGGTGTTGAGGAAAGAGGGGGGGAAGAATGTACAACTCTTTCTCAAAAGAGAGGAAAAAAAAATCCCAAAACCTTGAAATATTTTCATTTTGGCCTGGTGAGAAAGAGGGAGAGGAGAGGAAGGGACAGAAGCACACTGCTTCCTTCCTATACCTAGGCTGTACAGGATGTTTCTGTGCGTGCATGGAGCAGCAGGAGTCTAAGCCAGGTTTCCCTGTGTTGCTGAGTTTGTTCGTGCCAGGCTCATTTTCTATGTATGTTTTACAACACTCGTTGAAAATTAGTTTTTTCCATGAACACTCCTGCCTATGAACGCACCCAGGCATTCACAAGCTTTCCAGTAGTTCAAGTCACATGTCAATGGTGTTTTCTCTTCATTTCTCTTTATTCCTTCACCACTTATCATTTCCCATTTACACAGCCTCAATACAGGACTCGTGTTGAAAACGTAAATATAAATCATAGATAGGTTCTCAGCCCTCTTTACAGTGTGGCCAGTGGAAACAGGCGAGTCAGGACCACGTGGCTTTCTGCCTTTCCACACAGCATCATTTGGGTGTTACCACCACAGTACCTACATTTAAATCACACAAAAAAAGGCAAATTAGTTTAAGAATTCGCAAAAACTTCAGTTCCTAGTATGTGACACCTGAAAGCACTGGAACCAGCCATCTCTTCCTACTGGATACTACTAGACGTGAAGTTAAAACTTAATCTACACACCCAATTATTAATCTGCACATCTGAATTATTTTACATCTGACACACCGGTTCTTGGGGAATGAGTATAAAGAGGCTCAGAAGTTTTTCTTTTTTTCTGGTCTTCTAATAACTCAAAGATATTGTGATAAAGGGTTTACGCACAGGGCGGGGAGGGTAGAAAGGATGCGTGTGCGGAATCCAGGATTCCCCAGGAGGCACAGTTCATGCCATAGCACCTTTCTGAATCTTCACCAACCAATGTTTCTAAAGCTTCGAGGTTTACCAGCATCTTCATAACATCATTAAATACACTATCTTACTCTCAACCTATACTGGACTGCACTATATAGCTATATATTACACTATAGCTCTACACTACACAGCTGAATGCAAGTCTGCAATTCAAATAGCTTTGTTTGCTGCACTGCCATATTATCACACATGGCTTTATCATGCAACATTGATTTTTAAGCAAAGGCATTGATTAGGAGTCTTATTTTAAAAATGTTAGCAGGATACAGCCCTTAGATAAGTACTTGAAGACCAAATTTAAGCTGCATTCTCCAGCAGCTCTCCTTTCTTACAGACACTGTAATAGAATCACAAGTAATACTGCTGACTTCAACACGTATTGAGGATTTACACCAGTATGTTTTTAATTAAATGAGGTCTTAGCACTTTATACTTACACAACTATAATATGCTTTAGAATGCTTTTTATTTTAATGCAAAACTTCTTACCCCCTCCCCCCCCCCCCACTCAAGGAAAGAGGCTTGTTTTCCTGAAAGATAAGTTTATTAAATTGAATTTGACCTTTTAGAGTATACCTAGGCAGGGATTTCTGCTCCCTGGAAACACAAGCAATTTCTTCATGTACTGCTCTGAGTCATGCAAGACTCTACAAGTAAGCAAGCAAACCACTCTCGGAAGAACAATTTATATTAACTAAATCATACACAGAAAAAAAAAAAAATCAAGCCCAAACCCAAAGAATATCCTTGCATGTGCTTTCTAAATGCCATACTTTACAGTATAAAATCATTACAACATCATTTTTATGCTTTCAAGCAGTCCTCCAGACCTATCATTACCATTACATTACTTGACCAATTTCCTTGGGGTCCTGTTCATTCCATTCCAAAAGCAAGTTTTAAATGCCTTCCCAAGACTTCCATGCAGCTTGTGCTGCTTTTGTTCTCACAGTCCTCAAGGGCTCCCAAGTTGGTTGAAACCTCCTAGTTAGTCTTACTCCTTTGCTACCTGAATTCCCATTCACAAAGTGGTTTTCTTGCAACAACCCACAAGGACCATGCTTTTCCAGTTCTGGCTTGTTCCTTCCAGGAAGGTTGTTCAGTGCATCAGTGAACTCCCTCATCTGTGCAGATCTATCTGCAGATCCACAAATCAACGACCTGTTACCCAAGTAGTTAAAAACCCTTTTCCTCACACAGTAGGGGCAGAAAAGCCAAGAACAGACAGTCCTTACCTTTCTTACCACAAATTCCCTGTTTCACTCTTGGGACTTATAAACATCAGGAATATAAAAACCCCAAGTACACAGTGACCTTTATGGTAATGTGTTACAACAAAGGGAGATTCTGTTTCTGAGCCCTGTTTGGAGGGTTGCCTCTAAACTGTTATTAACCACTTGTGCTTTTGGGACTCGCCATTATGGATCAATTATACTTTACTTTCCTTGGTGGCTTTGCATTTTCAGAGAGCTGTGATTCTACCACATTAAGTAAGACAGGTTCCCCTTTCAAGAGGCAGATAATTTACAGTCACAGGGTACAAAGAAATACAGTAGAAAGACTAATTCAAGGAAAGACGCATTCATTATTCAATCACTCCATATAGTTCCTATCATTTACCAAGTAGAATACATTTAGGAGAGATAGGAGAAATAGCAGCATTTGCTACCCTTAAAACCTTCTGTATAATGCAAGCCTCTCTTTCCAACCTGCACTCCTAGATTTCCTCTTTAATTAAGTGCAAACCAATCCTAAGAAATGAGTCAAAGCCTTAGTTGCTCCACCACCTTCATCTACATCAACTGAATTACTATAATAAGTAACACAGGGCTTACAAAGAGGGGCGCAGAAGGACCAGCAGCAAGCGTTATAGTCCTCATAACCCTGAAGACCTTCTGTATTTGATTTAGGAATAGTCCATGCGAAGACTCACACTTCCTTCAGCATAGGCCCAAACCCACACTTCTATATAATAGCAAGCAAGCAAGCAATTCCTCTCAGCACCGTCACGCTTTGGAGAGCTCGCTGGATTGATTTCCTTCAGCAATTTGATCTTCTCCTGCTGCTTTGTTACCACCTACTTGGCTTGCTTTTGAAAGCTCAGAAGGTTCCCATACTACAAACTAGCTACCAGCCACCTTTGCACTATCCACATAAGAGAAGCCTCTTAATCAATATGTTACAGATACCTATTAGTAAACCTCTACCTCTCCTTAATTCCACAGTGAAGAAAAAATGCTATTATGATAAAGAACAATTATAACAAAACATGCCCCTGCAAAACCACCTTTCTTGGTACATCATACCAATTGACAACCACATCCTACTATCTATTTAAGGAAATAAACCTCACATCTTTGTTTTTCTAAAACCTGACAAGCATATACAATTAATAGCTGCAGTACTTGGCTTACCAGGCAGATGGTTTTTTTCCTAGGTCGGGTTTTTTTTTTTTTTTTTCACCCCAGCATGCCCAAGACATCCAGTTCAACAAAGTTTTGTTGGCTACGTCTGATATATATTAATAACACAGAGCTTTTCTCTTCCTGTTCAAAGTGAAAGTGGAGTTCTGTGTACGGATTTTGTGTAATAATCTGCAAAGAGTAACTTCATATTATAATCTGGGTTTCTTATGGCTTTCAACGGTGGCAGTTCTGGTCCCTAAAGCTGAAGTCTTCTATCAGTGACATTGCTCCTTTTCTTCTTCCCTACCCTCATACATCATTAAGGGTGTGCCTGACTGCAAAACCATGTGAGGAGAAACAAAATCCATCAGGTCCTTCAAGGTCACAGAACACCGTAATAATCCACTCATCTACTCATACTTGCTATGTCTAGATCATTGCTAGTAAAAGCCACAAGATCAGCAGTTTCCATTATGCAGATAAACCACCCTGGCTCTGTAGGCCAACCCCAGGCCAACTGCCACTAGATGGAAAACGACCCCGGAAATTTGCTTAACAGTGTTAGAGAGAACATACATAATATACTAGCTATGCTCCCTAATCTGAAGTCAAACTGTATGTGTATGCTTCCTGCCTGACACCTGCTCACCAGGAACATGGGAACAAATCCACAGCTCCTCTCACTTTCAGTGCCAGGATCCTGTCTGTTCACTTCCATCAGTGGTTGCCATCATATTTTATTGTGCTTTGACCAATGCAGCCTTTAAGAGGATGCCTTTAAGAAATGCAATGAGTGCTTTCTTATACTTAGCCTTGTAAATGCAGGAGCCAAATTTCCCGCTATCTGTGGTTGGAAAAGAGGTGAGAATATGACTGAGACACAGACACACACTACAGTCACCCAAGCCTTTCCACCTCTTTACAAAACAAGCCAGAAAAGTAAAATATAAAGTATTGTATGTATTGTATGTAGATACAAAAGATAAACATAAGGAGCTCAGCTTGCTAATGCCTTATGTCTTGGTCTCCAGCTTGCATGGTAGTCAGAAAATCTTGGCCAGTCTGAAATGCACGTGAGGTCTTTCCCCAGCCTGACTTCTCAGCAATAGCTCAGATTTTCACATTTCCATTCCTTTTTCTTCATCCACCAAAAAGTTTATCAGGAACACTTTAGCAAAAAGTGTAGATGCCTCTAGTACTTTGACAATAAAGTTAGAACAGAATCCAGCTTCCTGTATCTCACTGCTCTAAAAAGGCAACGACAGGATCATAAAAATCAATCTCTTGATGATTTCATGATAATCCTCACGGACCAGGGCAACACACCTCTATTCCAGGGGGGCACCTTATGAATGTGCAAGTCCTGAGCTTGTGGGTTCATTCCATCCACCCCAAGAAAAGCTTTAAGGCTGGGCTTTGGGTTTTTTTTCCTTCCGCCACCTCTCTAGTTGGGTAAGTGCTGCACTAACGCAGACCTTCTCCACGGCCACAGCACAAAAGCGCTGGCCCTAATAAGGACAGATGTAGAGAAGCCATGCAGCTCTCAGGACCAGTCTATTGCAGCAGAGGGGTTGAGCGGAGAAAATGGTAGTGGAAGCTCAACCTCCATCCATATAGAGCCATTTATTGCCACAGGTCCAGATCCCAGTTGTATAATTACTCCCCTTCAAGCATTTTGACTAAGAGATAAATAACTATTAAAGAAACTATTATTAGGTTTCTGACCTAACTCTAAGACAAAGAGGCAGTTTCGTTCTTTTCATGACATTATCCGCTGACAAATTCACACGTCTGCAAAACAATTCACAAATCACATTTGCAAGAAATTTACCTTGCAAAAATAGGTATTTTCTGGAATAAAAATACAGCAGCATCCAAAATTAAGTACCTGCTCTCTATATATAAAACCAGACAAAACCACCCAAGAATGCCACAAGCCAAAGTAAATGCTGGTAGCTACCATCTTTCTTCTTGAGGTCTGTCTGAGTAAGTCTCAGATGAGCTGTTTTCTTGTGAGCGTTGAATCCTTGCCAAGGAATCACTAGGAACTGCTGATGCAAAACCAAAAACCTCTAAACAGATATAGCCTGACGAAAGCCTTAAGCAGCTGAGAGTACTTTGAATGCACAAAGGAAGGAGATGTACCAAACAATAAGGGTTCTTTTTTTTTCTTTAGTATCTTCTCTGCTGCAAAGCACACTTTCGATTTGCCATTCTATTTTCTTCTAACAGGATGGTTTAGCCCATTACTTCTTACATGACTAAAAGACGCACGTTACTTTCCTTTTATAAAAAACAGTAAATAACCTTAAGGGAGTTGCATGAAAGAGAGTAACTTTACAACAGAAAGTGTCTCATAATGACAGGATACAGGATAATAGTCTTAAGGCGACATCATAGTAAAATGCAAGATTTTTATATAACACCCTTTTAGACTGATTTTTCTACATTCCAAATGCTCCCATAACCATCTTTTGACATTTCTCCTGCACAGCTGGTTACACCATCCATAAGCAATCTCTGTCTACCTGGCATTATTATTATTTTAAAAGCGATTTCTTTCACTTCCTTTCAGCTAAAACTTCGGTTTAACCTAATTGCCAGTTACCACCCTCCCTTCTAGAAAAAGGAAACCTGATTTCTGACGGTTTGAAATCCATACTTATTGCAAACCACGATATAATCATAATGCCAGTACATGCACATTATAGGAGTATGATTAGCAGAAGGCAAAAAAAAGCTGGGTGCCATTTGCATTCTCGGCATCTAACTTCAAATATTAACTAGCAAATGAACATAGCCTTACGATAATAACACTGTGTATATTACAAACAGAATTACCAGTAAGAGGTAAAAAAAGGTATTAGTTGCTTCCTTATGATTAATAAATGTCGTTAACAGAGAAGGAATATTACTCTTGCTGGGTGCTCATTATGTATTTGATAATCTCTATTTATAGGACAATGAAACATGGGGTTTGTAAAATGCCATCTGTTGGTTTCTTTTCAGTGTACGGGATTTCTGACAGTTCAGGAGCTGCAATTCAGCACCGCTGATAATGCTACAATATGTAACACTAAAGCCTTTGGTTATGAGAACGTGAGCCATTAAACTCAAAGAAGCAGGTTGGGTAGGTGTACTGAATAGTGTATCTTCTGGTTTTTGTATTTAAGCCATTTAAAAAGTAATTTACGCTTTCATGTAACCGATTTCGATCAGTCATTCAAACAGCATAACCCACACAATGATATATTGCAATGACCCACAAATGTGATAGAAGTGGTTTTGCTCTTTGATCTCTGCAAGAGGTGTCTCATGAGAGAAGCTCACAGAAATCTAAAAACTACTACAGGCAAAATGGCAATTCTTTTCGTTTTTTTTTTTTTTAAGAAATTATCCTAAAAAAAAAAAAAAAAACCCTCAAGCCTCAAAATGAAGTACTTCTTAAAACACAGGGAGTTAGTCAGATCCATTAATTTTGTCAATACCTAAAGGATTTTAATGGGTCACTGGGTATTCATATCAATGTAAAATTGGAGGGGGTTATATCATTGGCTAAAGGCCTAATCGTGACTATTGATTCTAAGAGGAAACATAAATACTAAGCTCTTCATAGGGCAAACAAATACAAGAAGAAACATCTAAGCATAAGTAAGAGACAGTTCATACTTTTTCAATTTCTTAGTGCATCAACATATGATTTCTGTTTCTGCTTTCAGTTCCACTCTTCCTTCTCAACTGCACTCTCTGAGCTGCCTTACCATGGCTCTTCATCATAGCCTGTCAGATAACTAGAAGTGTCTGCTGCCTGGGACAGGGACCGTCTTTGACAAAAAAGTCTGATGTCCGAAGCAACAGGATCATAATGCCTTCCATCCAAAAAAACCAGGATTCATTTCCCCCATCAGTGGTTACACAAATGGTAGAAATGGCTGCACTTCTACCAAAAATGAGGTAGTTGCTCGACTGTTCACAACTCTCAGTGTTGGAGCCTTGAGTCAATCAGTCTAAAGGCGGCCATCAAGCACCAACAAATATAGTGACTTCATGAAAGGATGCCCAAAAAACTTCCAACGTTGCTATCTTCAGTGATCTACCCAAAAAGCAGAAAGGCATTCTCTTTTCTCTCAGAGAAACACTTTACAGGACACATTGGAATTTGGCCAGATGATCAAGACTGAAGGCACAGGATTTGGGGGTTTGGGGAGTGGATATGGACAGGTTCCTATTTGTGCCCTACGGATGAACCTAAAACTAGCAAATCCATAAACATGCTCTTGCCATTAAAAAAAAAAAAGTATCAAATTCAGATGCTTAATGAAATTATATTGTTTTTCTAGGTGATCCACTGCCAGTGAGGTATTCTTTCAAAACTCAGAGAGTCTTAAATGAATAGCAGACAAGTTTTGCAAGAGGATCAGGGAGATTCAGTATCCACGCCAGCAAAAACCACAGCAATCTCACTTAGCTTATGAAATGCGACACAGGAACAAGAGGAGGAACAATGAATAATACTAAGAAGAGCTGAGATCACAGACTACAATGCTTTCAGGTGGCACAAATAATTCTAAGATGCAAATTGAAAAACATTGCCTGTAATTTACTTAAACAGCACTACTTAAAGTTTGTTCAAACTCATTTAAATGAATGGTGGTTGTCTCTAGACGCAGTGAATAAATAACCAATGTACCCTCATGCTGAAATATGCCTTAAGTGGAAACACAAATAGACACTGTTTCTACCTCTTTGGAGAATTTATATAGCCTTGATTCAGCTTAGGCTTGCTAACAATCTCTCTTATTTTTTTCCTCTTTTCCTTTGTTAGATAAAGAGCTGCTGTTACATCAGTTTCCACCAAATATTTCAACAGTAACTACTGGTATTGTTGTTAGAGCAATATTATGGGTTATACAACATTTTTCTTTCCTATGTTTTGCTTTTTGCTTCTGTGGTAGCCTAGAATTCCCACATGCTTCAAAATGCTTTAAAAAGGCACAGAGCTCCCTAAATGGAGCCCTAGAGGACAGTATTGTCCACACTGAGCCTAAGAGAGTCAGGTCTCTTGAAGTATTTTGGGTCATTTGAACTAAATTATTCTAAAGGTCACCAAGGGCCACAGAGACTTCAAGTAAGCCAAATCCTGAGTGGTTCCCATTGCCTGGAACTTTTAAGCAACGGGAATCCTGTAACTAAGCAGTGATAAAAACTGAATTTGGTTTATTGATCTCAATGGGAAGGTGAAAAGGAGCTTACAGATGTCCAGAGTGGATCGCTACTAGTACCATACAGAGTGCCCAGCTTCAACATTAGTGTGCTTAGGAAAACTGGAAAACAAAGTGAAATGCAGTTGATTTACAGAGCATACTCAAACCTTGCCCAGTTGAACCAGTGAGATGAAGAGAGCTCCCTTCAGCTGAAACTCTGCCCAGGCAGATACTTTCCGCTTTGGTCTCTCCCTCACTCCCTTCCAGGGTTCCCACAAACCACAAAGTGGAGCCATCCGGTTAACACACTTCCTGCCCACACATCCTCTTGCCTCAGCACCAGCACATTACACATTGGAACCTGCCACCCCTGAGACCTCTTACATATATATAATACTTACCTTATTTTCAAAATACGAGTGATCATAGTATAGTGGCTTAGAGAAAGCCTGCCATCTATTTGTAAGTCTAACAGCTTTACAAGGAATCCCCCTAAAATCCATAAGAAGTCTTCCTGAAAACCAGCATGATTTATTAATGTGGCCATCACTCACTCTTTATTTTCACTCGTTTAAATCAGCGTTGCATAGGGAGCCATTTGTTTCTATTGATAGCTTTAGCTAATGTGGCATACTCGGTTCCTGAACGGGAGAAGGAAGCCAGTTCACCTAACGGTTCCTTGAAACAGAGCTTTTATTTATGATACATAGTTTAACATGTAAAATACCTTATGCTTTTAAGAATTTTAGGCACTGGCACAAATTTTTTAAAGAGGCTGTGAAGCAAGATTTCCATAACACAGATTGGTGAAACAGATCCCAGGAAACAGAGAGATTACTAGATGGTTCTTGGATCTAGATGTAGTAAGTAGGCTTATGGTCCATCAATGTTCAGCCATGCTTCACGTTTTACAGTTGCAGCAAATCATGTATCTTTAGAAGGCAATGCAAAAACTCTATTTAAAAAGAGTGCAACTGATAGATTGTTTTCTGATAGTAAAATAGAAGTACGTTGTATTCTCAAATGACTATTCCTATTCATAAAGCTTGATCAAAAATTGACTCTGTGCTTTATGCACTCACTGGCAGTAGATTTTCACTTGCCTTTAAAAAAAAAAATCTTTAGCACTTAAGTTTAAGCACTGTAATTCAATGAACATCATTAAAAGATCATCCTCAGATTTCTGATGTATGTAGCAAATACAGGCCTTTAAGAAAGGGCACAACTTTACCCACCCCATTTGCTAGACTATCTACTAGACAGAAAGCTAGAATGGACTTCTCCAGGGAAACCCTACAAGGAAGCCTTGTGTTCTCCCGGGAAACATTCATTCTGTGCTAAGGGATCTGCAGAACGCTAGGGAAACTATGAAAAGGTAAGGCTTCATAGTCATGGACCTGGAGCTTAGAAACCTGTCTTCCAAGAAAGTGCCTTTTATTTTGTTTTCTTGCAGAGAAATGCCACATATTTTAACCAAAATCACCTCAAGGGGAGGGAAAATACTAAAATCTCAGGAGCGTAGTTTAAATGGATGAAGCGACACTAACACACAGCTAGCTAGGCCACAGACAAAAGGATCACGGGAAAGGAAAATTCTGAACGCTCATCCATAAATTCACAACTTAATCCTGTTGATGTAAGCAGCCCCTCTGTAAAGGAATAAGTAAGTCAGAGTTAACCTTCTGACAGCAACTATACAAGGTCTATATCCAAAATCCCTATCCAAACAGAGCTCTGTGAGAGTTCACATCTTCAAGTCCAAAACAGGATGCTTCACAATGAAATATTCTCTGCCATTAAATATATATCTGCACACAATGACATGTGTGTCCAAACTTTAGCAATTCAGAGCTGGGTTTCGGTTCAGATATTGAACAACTAGAATCCAGCAACATTTGGTTCCAGAGTTTTAGATCCATCTCTAGCTGTGGCAGATATACAATCAGGACATTTCATAACTGCCTTTCAAAACCTTATTACTACACAGTTCAATAGTCTTAAAAATAAATAGTGCATCATCAGCTAAGTATTGAAATAAACATCTCACCACTTTATGCATCATCAACCTCATTTCAGTGCTCGGTAGGTCATCAGCATTTTGACTCACGGCCCAATTTCAGCAGCGCTAAATGCATAAGTGCCACATACCCTAGATTAGTTTCACATGGACATTCATCATCATGAAAGGTAGGCAGAACTTTGCAGAATAAATTTGGGATTCCGATAGGATGTTCTGGGAATACTTCAGTGTTGTCAGGAAAAAAGGGAAAATAACTGCAGGAGGAACACCATGGTCAAGTACTTGGGCTTGGTGACAACTCTAAATGCAGAACAGTTTTGAGTTTTGCATGACATTGCACAGAATGCTTTCTAACACATATGGTCAGCTGGAATTTCTAGGATGAGATAATAAGGAAGAAGTGAGAAAGTTCTGCTCTCTCTCCTTTACCTCCCTCAGGTAATTTCATGGTCTAATACTTTGCATGAGTTAAGTCTCGGCCTTAATGGGGAGACTGTGAATAAGCTTGAACAAGTCATTCAGTATTTGTGCATCCATTTCAGCTTTGTGAAATGGGATTAACAATACCTGTATTTTTAATCATTTCAATACCTATAAAAAGTGCCTCAGCGTTACAGTTGTAGATAATGAGTCCGTCCTCCAGGTCCTACACTCTATTCCTATGTTACTGCAGTATAATTAGCTTTACAATATAATTTTCATGTTTTGTCCAGCCTACTTTTACATATTTCAAATTAAATCATTATTACTAGTGATCAGCTATCTACCTCAAGTGAAACAGTCTTCCAGCAGTTCGTCTAACTTTAAGCTTTGCTTTCTCCATTTATAATTCCCAGGAAGGAGTTGATAACATACTTCTACACAGACAAACACACAGAACATGCTCAGGTTAAACTTAAAGGTGTAAAATCCCACTTTTCTCCAACACAATTTTGGAGGACTACTCATCTAAGTTTAACAAAAAGGGAGAATAAAAAGGACTCTGTCCAAAACAACATCTGAAAAAGTGCTACCTTTACTGTGCAAGCCCTGAGATGAAACAAAGCTGGGACTTCTTTTAGTATAGTTCTCATTCATGGTTATTTCCAGGTTACCTCATGAACATAACTGCGCCGCTACTGAAAAACCAAAAAATGAATTACTCCAGAATTTCCAAGCATAAGTAGATGCAGAATCTTCTGTGAAGCTCCCAACTCCTGGCTATTCTGCTGGCCCTTTCCTGTTCTAACTAGTTACTGGCTCACTAAAATTCAGGGAGTGCTGGAAAAACTTCATTTAGCATCTTTTACAGTAGATCTATGTGATCACCTTCTAAAGGAGTCCTAAGGAGAAGTATCAAACTCCTGGCTAGCGATGACCAAAGTGACTCAGCAAACATAGGCTGAATACAGCTTTGAAAGAAGCTTACTCCTAAAGTCATCACCAGAGCACCCACCATAAAATACCTAACCAACCTTCCTTCTTCCATCTCCTCTTCCTGAGGCAGATTGTGAGACTGCTCTTAGCATACAGATGCCTTCCATGTGCTTGACCCTTGTACTCTAAATATGGGCCTTGAATAAGCCAAAGGACTGCTTGGTTAATTATCTCCTTCTAGTAATGGATGAGAATCAGATGCTTTGTAATAAGGCTGCTATTATTAGCTTCATTGGCTGCCTTTGATACTATCATAGAAGCATACAGGTTATCTCTAATCTGATTTACCTGTCCAGAAAATAAATTGACTTCCTTACAGTAGGAAGGCCTCAGCAGGCAGCAATAGGGCCTGCCCTTCAAGCGAGAAATCAAGCTCCAGTAAAGCTGTTCATTCCCCTCAGTTCTTCCCACAACTGGCAGAAAGGACAGTGGTAGGGAAAGGCGACTTCAGGCAAAGTGAAAATTTGTTTGTCCCAGAACTAAGCATAGCAAATATTATATTTTGAAGCTAAATGTCATATTGAAACAAAAAATTGATTTATTTAAAGTGCCAAATGAAGTGGTCTGACCAAACTTATCAAAGTGATCTTTTGCCTCTACCAACCAGAGCAACTACATGGAGACAGATCAAGAATCACAGATTGTTTCAGTTGACTCAGATGTTTAAAAAAAAAAAAAAAAAAAAAAAAAAAAGCCCGAGAGAGCGCCAGCCAGACAGACAGCCAGACAGCCAACCAGCCTTTGGTGCAGTTTAACTTTTGAGTAGCTTCATTCTTTTCCCTTCAGATGTTTCAGGTGGTAGTCATGGACATGGCCTTTTCTTCCACAAAAGGTTTCATACTACCAGTCTGAAGTGGTGGGCCTGCGATAAGGGCACTAGGCAGGAGACACAGGTGCCTGTATTTTTTTGTGCATTGACTTATCTCATCTGCACAGCTTTACCTCATCTGACTTGCACAGTGCCATTTAGGACTAGTGCACACGCCTTGCTGAAATTAAGATGCAGGTGAAAGAAAGATAGGCACTGTTCAATTAAAGTAAAAATAAGAAAATCACAGTGGACCAGTGGAAAACAGCCAGAGGTAGCTGTACTGCTCCAAGAAAAGGGGCTGAACCAGGGAGTTACTTTC